CCGAACGAGAGTACAGTCCAATTGCTAATACAAGAGCTAGAGTGTTGTATAATTCTAGTGAGTATCAAAATGCTAACCTTTTACAATGGAATAAATGCTACTATTTATACTAGGAGTGAGTAGCTGAGATGAATGACATGGAGAATTATGAGTGGGTGACCTCTTTGCCTCTTGAGCACCCCATACTTCCACTTCACCCATACTCCAGCATTAAATGCACCCTTGCCACTTGCAAGGCCCCTCGATCAGCCCTTTGGCTAACCAAACCAGCAGGCAAGAATGATGCTTCTTATTTGTCAAGTATGGAAGCTGATCCGTTCGGGAAACACCGAATGGTACATACCTAATTGGCCAAAACCTGTTCGGGAGTCCACTGCTTTGCTTATTACCTATTGGACTTTGCTACCTCTTTTGGTCCTTGAGGATACTTTGGGCCAGATTATTGGGCTGGATTATTGGGCCGGACCTAGTTAATATATCCCAACATGTTCTAAAAATATCTTCTGCATAATGAATATATATTTGACTAATTCAATAAAGATTAGATTGCATAAACCTAAGTAATATGACATAGAAGCACCTTTCCTTAATTAGGTGTCCCGCACTCCCGCATCAATTTATAAACAAAATTTAGATTTATAAATATTTAAAAGGCTCACTAAGTATAACTTAGATACAACATCAAGGGGAGCAATTTTTTTTGTTCTTTCTATTCCTTTTACATAGGAGTCTAAACTTTCTCTCTTACAAAGAAAATAGGAAGACTGAGTGCAGCAATATTTCTTTCTTTCTTGTGGAACAGCCGCACCAGCAAACAAAAGACCCAATGAGTGTCTAAGCTTCATTTTTTTCTCAATTTCTTATAGTTCAATTTAGATTCCAAGCAATAATTAAATCTCACATCAACTAAACCTCATAAAAGCTTCGCTATACTGTTGAATAGTCAGAACTGTAGAATCCTTAGATCTAACTGCATAACTTCATATTGATTAAAAAAGTACACATGAGACACACTTTGATTATTCGATAGGCTTATTTCTTCAAACACTTTGGTTGATAAAAACGGATTAACTAGGAAAAACACAATGATTGGCGATTTCAAAACTGAAAAAGAAAAAACATACTGATTGGTGTTTTCTTAAACTGGCGACTCTTAGTGAAGCTGCATCGAGGAGAGAAGAGATGATTGTTAGAACTATGGCGAATCACAGTGACGGAAATTAGGGCTATCTGAGTTGCGTGACTGATGTGCTGCGGTGATGAAAAATTTAATTTAGGATTTACTTTTAATTTTTGTGAATAGTAAAAATGCATTAGACAATTTTTATACATGGTGGGAAAAAAATACGTAGTAGCTAGATTAAATAGTTCATATAGGCGGAAGACTTGTTAAATTAAATATTTGGAAAAGGGGGTTTACGTTTCTTTTAAAATTATCTAGCTTTAGATTTTTTTTCCGGAAGACTTGTAAAAAATATACTGACAATTTTAATGGTAACTGATGGTATATCATGTAATTATACCAACGGTTTCAATTTAAGTATAGGCTGTATAGCAATTGATTAATTTATACCAACAAAGTTTACAAAATTACAAGTTGTGGATATACATATTGGCAAAACTAACAAAATAGGTTACTGTCGGTAAAGCATAACTTATGATTGGAGTATGATTAATGGAATACAAATTACCGTTGGTAAATGGCATTTTTTTGTAGTGTGTATCACTTTCAAGAATAGCTTATGTTTGGTTTTAGAAGGGAAAAAACAAAACAAAATGGAGTATGATTAATGTATATGAACTTTAATATATGTTTAATTTCTGAGTATTTATATTGCAGAATTATCTTTTAAAAAAGAATATTAACAAATAATACACATTTAATGAGTTAAATTTAGCTTTTATTTTCCTTGAAATTGCCTTTCTTTCTAAAGTTCATCTTTAATCACTATCTCCCCTACTTTCTCTCCTTACCATATCCCGACTTCCTAAAGTACCCCATATAGATAAAGATTTAAGCATTGAAAGAGAGGCATGTACAAGTGATATTTCCTCCGTATCGTTGGACTTTGTCAAATTTCCCTTTTTGGTTGTCCCAAATAACTTTGCCACTTTCCTATTAAAGCAACTAATTTGTGGTTCTGCACAATTCTCTCTCCTCTGCACAAATCTCAACCACACAGTTTTTACTATTCTTATTCCTCACCTACTTTGCACTTGGCAAAGTCCACCGGGACGGAAGTAGAATAATATTCTCTAGACTGTTCTTCCAGGGATTTCATTAATCCCAGTCAAAGGTTTGAATGAATTATCCTGAAAAGTTATTTAAGAAATTAGAAAATGATGCGAAGTTGAATGAGACAACATTTTGTTAGTATTATGAAGAACTATTATAAAACTGTTATTTTGTTAAACTAACACACTGCCGATCAGTCAAACTATAACATAATACTTTAAAGAAAATTGATAAACAGAGAACCAAAGATACTATGTTACGAGTATTTGATCCAAGTGAGTTGCACAGGACACATCCACCAATACTAATTTTACTGTGAGAAGCCAAATAATATGTTAGAATACTGAATAAAATTACCAACACGATGTTCATCCATACATAGAACGTAGAAACTAAAGTAAGTGCAATTAACATCTACACAGAGAAAATGAAGGTGCACACAAGAATTAGATTTCTATCATATATCACATGCTTGTTTGAGCACATTTTGATATGCAAAGAGAAGCATTAAGAGAGAAAATTGTCATTGTTAGTATCCCTAAGAGACAACTTGCACTGAAACCCAAATTGCTTTAAGCCTTTATTGGCGTGAACAATATTGACAAGTATAACCCTTGGTATGAACAAATCCAATATCCTACCAGTCCTTATTGATAAGCCTACAGTAAGAATCAACAAGTCTATCAGTCAATAAATCTAATGTTGCACATATCTGAATGTTTTTAGAACAAAAGTACATTTGCTCCCTAAGCTAATTAAATTTCCCGATAATAAACTTTATAGGGATTCAATAATTAGTAGCATATGCATATGGTGACATTGGTAGCCAAAACTCAAGTATCCATAAACAGATCAATTGAAGACATATAAATGTAGTTGTATTTAATTTACCTCCACCTACATACACACATATATACGAAAATAGAGCTATCACTTATCATATGTCTAAGAGGTGTGGAGTGTGGACCTAAGCTTCCAAATAAAGGGAAATGGTTTTGCGTGAACAATATGTCATATCAAACACGGTCACAACCAAAGCAATGGAAAATGGTTCTTCTTGTTAGGCAATATTTATAGTAAGTCACTTTATCTAATTTGATCAAAGATGATCAAGAGAATAAGAGAAACATAGACATATAATGTAATGTATTATTAGATATAAAGGTAGAGAAATTTAATTTCTATTTAGAGTTTTGCATTTTTATTGATCAAGTACAAATCCAAATTTGTACCGTGCTTAACCGGAAAAGGGAATTAAGACTTCAAGGGAAAAAGAACCGGGTACCAGACTTATTGCATCTTAATAAAGTCTGATAGCTAGATTTCAATTCAAACGTATAAAATAATAAAATTCCAATGAACTCATTAGTGATATTCTGTCTGAGATATGTGAACCTAAATTGAGGCAAAACACATGCATATAAGATATTTATGAAGTGAGCCAATGGAATCAATCTGGCTTCGTTTGGTACAGATATCCAAATAGTTATGGGGAATCAATTAAAATATGTCTCATTTGGATTCATTTACAAATTACAATTCAATGCCAAAATTTTTTCTCGAAAATTAGTGTTTTGGTGACTTTATTTACTAAACTATAAGTAGTAAAAAAGGAGGTGCAGAAATCACATTTTGGCCTATTGTTAGGAATAATATAAAAGCTAAGATGCAACTTTACCCTTGGTTTTTATTCAGAAAATATATATTTATGATTCTCGTGACGTGCTCTGTACACACATATAAGGATATAAACTTAGTATTTGTGTTAATTTGTCAAATAATGAACTCAATATTTCATACAAAATATCTCCGAAACTTTCACCAATTTAACCACTTTCTAATAATGGCCTTATGGGACAAACATTTACACAAACTAATTCGTTTAAGTTGGAGACAAATACAGTTAGAAGGAACAAATGAAAAACACATAACTTTTTGATTTTGCGTGCTGAATTGTGTAATAATAAGAAAAAGTAAGGTTGGAGTTATTTTTTTACTGTATTAGTTGACCATTTTGATTATTTTTCATGTTTTTCTTTAATTTGATTAATTAAATACATTTTAAATATAATTTTTTCATAAATCAGCAGAATCGACCAATACAGCCACTTCGGCCAGAACATCATAAATTTCAGCAGAATCAACTAATTCAACGGACTTTAGAGCCCGTTTGGTAACACCAAAATCGACTAAATCATCTGATTCTGCTGAAATTTATGAAGTTTTGGCTGGAGTGGCTGAATTGACTGATTATGCTGATTTATGAAAAGATTATATTTAGAAAAAATTATTAATAAAATAAAGAGAAAAATATATGTAAAAATCGATAAAATAGTCCTCTACAGTGACTACAGTGACTTCAACCTGAAAAGTAACTGTAATCTTACCTTTTCTTATTATCACACAATTTAACACGCGAAATCAAAGATTATGTGTTTGGTGTAAATTAGGTTACCAAAAAGGTTTTTAGTGTTTGGATCTATGAGTACAAAAAAGTGTGTAATTTTTGTGACACAAATATACAAGTAATTGAAATGAAATATTTCCGTATTTAAAAGTTTCCTACATTTTCCTTTTTGAGATGTATTCAAAAGTTCCATACACTTTCATTTTTGATAAGTTTATAAAATACACAACTACCTTTACTTTATCTACCTTTTATCTTCTCTTACATACTTTTATACATTTTCTTCTACTTTTTATACACTATTCACTACTTTTATTATTTTGCCCTGAAATATTTTTCGAGAAACACAAAATTGTCTACAAATGTAGAAGAGATGTTTTCTACAAAATTGGAAATCGCCATGTGAAATCAAGGCGGACGGAAAGTCAAGCTTGCAGTCACCACACGAGTCTTGTCTGCTCTCTCACTTTCGCAGTCTTTCTTTGACTGATTCAACTCAGTTTTCCATTGACGCGGCTTCTCTGTGCTTTCTTAGCTCTCTCATTCCACCCCGACCTCCCACTTCCCCTGTGATATCAATTCCTTCGATCGCCAGTTCGCCACCCTCCTCCGATCCCACACCAGAAAGACGCAAAGTGCCGCAGATCTGCCGGTAGGTTTTCTTATCGTTAAGTCCACGTTTATGCCAAAACCCAAAGGTCTGGTACTGATTTCATTTTCCATTCTTCCTTGATGATATCGAGCCAGGATTCGTTAAGTTTTCATTTTTTTAGAAAATATATTTCTTGTTTTTCCTAATATGTATGAAAATAGTTAGTAATTGCTCTAAGAAACCATTTTGGGTAACCATCAGTGTGCTGGACCTTTACTGTGCTTGACTTCAACTGGATACTCAAATAGATTGTTAATCCTTAACGTTCCGTTCTTACTTTACACATGAGAACTAACTATTTTTCCTTATTATTAAAACTGGGTTTTCCTGCAATTAAGACTTGAGAGCAATGGTAACAAACTAACACGGAGTATGACCCAGCCTTTAAATTTAAATCAAAACAGTATTCAACCCCCTAAATGTAATGTTTGTCGATCCTCATCTCACTCAAAAAAAAGATGATAGTTGTTAAACTTTTTATCACCTGAAATCAGACTGTTACTCTTTACATCCTATTCTCACTATAAATATATTTCAACTAAATGAACTATATAAGGAGCAAACCTATCTAACTAATTTAACTCTCCTTACTGGACACACACATGAACTAACTCTAAGTGGAAATAGTACTAACTTCTTGCTGTATTTGTTTTTTTAAATTCAGCCCACTTAAACTCTATTTTCTAATGTTAGTTTGTATTCTATTTCTCTAAACATGCCTTCTGCAAGGTTGCTATCAAAATATTTTACCTCTAAATCATTCTATATATATGCCTTCTTAGTGAAATAAAAATCAACCATGAATCGGGTTAATTGTCTAATACGCATATAAGTTAAAATTTGTATGTAGGCATTGCTAATTGATATACATTAAAGACAAATTTTAACTATACAACTAAAGTAATATTTACCCTCACCAAAGACATAAACAGAGCTTCTCTTAGCTGTGGATTTAGTTAGTTTAACCATTTCTTAAACATTCAATCAAAAGTAGTTCTTTATCCTTAACTTGAAACATCTAAAAATTATTCATTATAGAAAAATTACTTTTTTCGTTTACACATCACGAACACATAAGATGATATTTTTCGTATTGCAGCTGCTAATGAAAAAAATGAGAAGAGGTAGAAGGATTGAGTTGTATTCATTTCGAAAGTGTTTGCTAGGTAGTACTCCCTCCGTCCCACTAAGATTGTCTCGTCTTTCATTTTCGGTCCGTTCCACTCAGATTATCCCTGACTAAATTTGGTAAAATTTGTGTGGTTCTAAATCATTCTTACTTTTTTCTTATTTTACCAATTCAATATCAACTGCATAAACCCACTTTTCTTAATAACTACACCACCTCCTCATGTCCCAATGTTAGTGGGACAAAGGTAGTAGTAATTATAGAAAAATGAATGATCTTTTCATAAAGAAAATACACATCTCCAGAACAAGTTGGTGAGATTTGATTGCCTAAAAATATGTGTGTCCCAATTATCAGGCTGTTGAGATCTTATTGGCTGAAAATAAACCTGTCCCAATGTTTTTTTTTAATTTTATGGTCTGTATTTTTTAATATTTAATTATATTTTATATATATTTTGTACACATTCTCAAAGAAACGGTAGAAACGGGTTGTCGGGACTTGATTGGGGTTGTTTATAGTGTGTTCATTTATTAACATTCATCGACCTTTTTACTGTATATGTTATATTTATTTTTTTAATTTTAATTCTTTGTAATAGAAGTCTCCACGTAGGTGATACAATTTTTTAGGTAGTAGTATACAATATTCTGTTCAATATTTCTACTTTTGAGGCTTTTATATAGTGGACTTTAGTGCTGCTCTATACCATGGGGATATTTGGGCGGGAATATGTTCTCAAAATATTTTGCTTTTATATAATGATGATGATGATGATAGATAGTGCATGCCTGTTGACTGGAATTGTTAATTCTTGTTCAGTTTGGTGCTTGCATAATCTGTAACAATTTAACCATGCCTTGTAAATAATGTAATCTTGTTAAATTATGATGATGAATCATTCTTAGTGTATTGTTTGATTTGATGAATTATTATCATGTTATCTCTATTAGTGTATTTAGTTCCATCATTTCCAATGGAGCCAAAGAATCATTTTTTTTTGGCTTGGGAATATGATGGAATAAAGCAACATAGCTCACTAAACTGTTTGCGCTTCTTTGTTAAGAAGCAATCCATGCAATTTTTGACTTAATTTTCATCATGGGTCATCCAGAAATAGTCTCTTTTTAGTTTAGTACAAGGGTAAGGTTGCGTACATCCGACTCCCCTACCCCACCGAAGGTGGGTGTCTTTGTGGCACTGGGGTAATGTTGTTGTTGTTGTTGTTGTTGTTGTGTCTTTGTTATTTTATTTATTTATAAAAATGTCCCTATATTGTTTATATGTACTGGTTTCCCTACTTTTCATATCATATATTCTTATTAAAATGTCTTTTCTCGTGTTTCCATGCTATTTAGATTTAGGGTGTTTGTTTTATAGCTGATTGCATTTTCTCTAAGAACCGTTAAACTACGGTTTAACTGAATCTAACTTCTGATTTTCCCAGTTGAAAAGAGATAATTATTATTTGTATATATGTTAAGTTCTCTTCATTAATCTCACCCTTTTCCAAATTTCTCGTCATGTACAGTTGTACATGAATTTTAATTTCTTGATTGGGATTTGATCATCAGATTGGATGGTTGATGGTTTCTTCATTTTTATTTTAGTTATGCATTTTTTAACATTATCGGCTTAAGCAAGATTGCTGTCTTGATATATTTTCAAAGTATTCCTCTTTTTGTCACACCCCTGATGTGTCATTTTTAGTGGCCCACGAGTTTCACTTTCTTTACTATTGATGTGTGAGTATGGATCTTTTGCCACTTTTGATCCTTCCTATCGTTTATCCAGCCAATTTTTGCTGAATAAGTGACGAGAAGGAACAAATGTGGGAATGAATTTGTAGTTGTGCACCAATTGTGAAATAAGGTGGAAGCTAAAAGTGAAAACAATCTAATATTCGTAGGAACAAAAGTGTAATATTAATTCTAAAAAAAGTGTAATATTATTTCTTTTATTTCTTATCCAATGCAAATTTCTAAACGTCCTCTAACATGAAAGTCATTTGGATGTTGCAGTTTTTTATCCGGTTCTTGCAGATGAGAATATTTTGAGGTTGATTTATGATGTTGGAGGCTTGCATACTAGTTGGTACATACTAGTTGGTAGAGATATTGAATGTCCAGACTGGTCAACAATTTGAGAGTTAATCTCAAATTTGAGCACAATGCTGAATTACAGACGTGCCATCATGTTTTTAGCAATTTTTGTCTATTTTCTTTTGAGCAACAGTCTTTGCTATTGTCTTCAGAGTGATATTGATTGTCTAAAATCAGTAAAGTCTACTTTGCAAGATCCACAAAGCAGCTTGGCTGATTGGGACTTTAATAACAACACTGAAGGATTCATATGTAGATTTACAGGGATTGAATGCTGGCATCCTGAAGAAAGCAAGGTTCTCAACATCAAACTTTCTGATATGAAACTCAAGGGAACGTTTCCAATTGGTCTGAAGGATTGTAAATCTTTGACTGGATTGGATCTTTCAAGGAATCAAATCAGTGGGTCTATTCCATCAAACATCTCCAAAATCCTTATTTTTGTGACCACCCTTGATCTCTCATCCAACCAATTATCAGGACAGATACCTGAAGACCTTGCAAGATGCTCCTTCCTGAATGCTATTAAACTTGAAAACAACCAGTTATCTGGTCAAATACCTCCTGAACTCGGTCAGCTTGGTCGAATAACCACATTTAGTGTGGAAAATAACCGTTTGAGCGGACCTGTCCCGAGCTTTGGAAACAAAACCACACTAAGCTATAACAATAATGTAGGACTATGTGGGGCCCCATTTTTGCTTCAGTGCAAGGTTGTGTCAAAGAAAGCAAACTCTGGATTGATTGCTGGTGCGGCTGCTGCTGGGGTTTCTGTTGGAATTTTATCCTTGGCTATTGCGATGTACTTCTACTTCCGTAGGACATATAGGAAAAAGGAAGAAGATCCCGATGGTAATAGTTGGGCAAGGAGTATTAAAGGCGCCAAATCCATCGAGGTAAGATATTTATTTTTCTCATGCGTTTTCATTATTATAATAATGTGTTCATAATTTATAGAGTAACTTTGACAAATACATACAGATTTAAAACATTGGTCAAATTCCAATATCTTTGATAAAAAATGTCAAATGTGGCTAACAAAAGTGAGACGTGTGAGTGTCTTAGTATTCGCACTTGCTATTATTATGATATCGCTCTGTTTAAATTCATGGGGAGAGCAAAATCGCTACTATTAACATGGACATCTTAATATTATTTTATCTTAGCAATACAAGAGATGTTGAAATTGATGATGGTAAAACAAAATCGCTTGGTATTAGAGTGACTTATTTTCAGAAAAATAAGTGTTTCTTATAGGAAAGTACTTTAACATAAAAAAAGCGTCCAGCAAGGAAATGAAAAGGCGCTTTTAAATCTAAAAACTTTTAAGAAAAGAGATTTTTAGAGAAGTAAGAGAAACACTCATGGTGCATGTTGCGTACACACAAGTCCCTATCTTTTTATACTATTTTAAAAGTCTCTAAATGCTTTCAGTTGTATCACTTGTATGGTTGACACAACAATTTTTAAAATCTTTTTTAAAAATTTAAGATTTCTTTAGAAGCTAGACTGAGTAGAAACTGAGAGAAAGCTTGTAGCTTTTATCCTTAATTAGACAAACAGAAATGGAACAATCAATTTCTATCACATAACTACAACCTTTTTCTTTTAAGATATTTCTATTCACTAAAAACTACTCCGTAATAATTACTATAATGCTCACAAAAGTATATATTTTCCACTAGTTGTGCCAAACATATCCTTAGTGATTAAATGAAAAGCACTTCTTATATAAGCACTCATAGAATAGTCATTATAAACGGTCTTTTAATCTGTTCATTTTAAGTTTGATCCTTTTTTTCCTAACAATAAAACCCTTCTTTCAGCTTTCCATGTTCGAGAAGTCTGTTTCAAAAATGAGATTAAGTGATCTCATGCAGGGCACTGACAACTTCAACAAAACCAACATTATTGGGTCTGGAAGAACTGGGACTCTTTACAAGGCAGTTGTTGCAGATGGCACATCTTTCATGGTTAAGAGATTACAAAACACTCAGCACTCTGAAAAAGAATTTGCATCTGAAATGGCAACACTGGGATCGGTTAAAAATCGCAACTTGGTCCCTCTTTTCGGATTCTGCATAGCAAAGCAGGAAAGGCTGTTGGTCTACAAGTACATGCCCAACGGAACTCTGCACAGCAAGTTGCATGATCTCAATGATGGAGAAAAACCGTTGGATTGGACTTTGAGATTGAAAATTGCGATTGGGGCGGCAAAAGGGTTCGCTTGGCTCCACCACAACTGCAACCCGCGGATCCTCCACAGAAACATAAGTTCCAAATGCATCTTATTGGACGAAGATCTTGAACCCAAGATATCTGATTTCGGGCTCGCCCGGCTCATGAACCCGATTGACACCCATTTGAGCACCTTTGTAAATGGCGAGTTCGGGGACTTTGGCTACGTCGCTCCTGAATACTTTAGAACTTTGGTCGCCACTCCGAAAGGAGACGTTTACAGCTTTGGAGTTGTGCTGCTTGAGTTGGTTACTGGAGAGGAGGCCGCGTTTGTGAGCAAAGCCCCTGAGAGCTTCAAGGGCAGCTTGGTAGAATGGATTACCATTCTCTCCAGCGAATCTAGACTTCAAGATTCAATCGACGAGTCTTTGTTGGGGAAGGGGTGTGATGATGAGGTTGTCCAGGTTCTTAAGGTTGCTTCTCGCTGTGTTCTACCTGACGTTCCCAAGCAGCGGCCGTCGATGTTTGAAGTATACCAATTTCTGAGAGCCATCGGGGAGCCTTACAATTTCACAACAGATGACGGTGACATCTTCTTGCCCCAGGAGACTGACGATGGGTTTCGCTTGGATGAACTTATCGTTGCTCGAGAGAGGTGAAAAAAGGTATGCGAGACTGTTGGTTTTAGTGGATGGGATATAGATTATATGATTTGTAGTTACGTGTTATAGATCATCATGAAATAATAAATAGTCTTCTTAGATTACAAACAATAATAATTGTCTATAAGTTTTGTTTGTCACTGCACTATAGGGTACTATGCTAATGTATTCAGCTTATGATTTCTTGTATTGTAGATTGAATTCCTCAGTTAGAAGGATTAATTCCAATCACCATTTTTGTCAAATCCCTATTTTAGCCTTTAGCAACAATTTCTAAGCACAAGAGCAGTAAAGGAGATTTTTGCATACTGTTTAATGAAAAAGCCCTTATCAATCAAACCAAACAATGAAAGTTTAATAGAGTGGGGAGAAGCGAAATATAAAGTGGAACTATCAGTAAAGTAAGGAATGCTATATCATATTCTAGAGGGATAGCGTGTGTTGGAATTGAGTGCAAGTGTATCTAAGCACTGCCTTGTGAATACAAGAGAAGAAATGTAAAGCGTGGCCTAACCATTAAGGAAGCAAGTGAAAGAAAACAGAGACTAATATAAAAAGATCCAGTCTAACCTTGGATTGGGGACTGTAGGTTGTGGCTTTGAAGGACTCAATAATTGTAATTGTATTTAGTTCGCAATGAGAATTTAATCCTTTTAGTTTATTATTACTACTATTATTATTCTTAATAATGTTATTTATGTATTAGTTGTGAACTTGTGATGATCATTGTATAATTATTTGGAATTTTATTATTCAATGACCTGAAAGATAGGTTCACTATCAATAAGAGAAATAAAGTGTGTGAGTCGTGTGACTATAAGGCTCGAATGATTAAAAACTATCAATAACACACAAAACTCAAAGGTCGGGATTCTACCGATTGGCCTTCCTGTATGCTTTCAGTTTCAATAACACAAAGCCCCTCATAGGATGGTATCATGGTACCATTGTTTGGATACATTCAATAATAAGAGGACCCGCACATAGGTTCAAATGAAATCTTCAAAGCCTTCAATTTCCCACTTCTAATTTGCTATTTGTTCAGTTCAGTTTGGTGATAGTTAAAGAGGCAATAGAAAGTGCAATAGGTAAAAGAAAAACAGGGAGTGGAAAAAGTACAGAACGGCTTAGGGATTTAGAATGAGTTCATGGAAATAAGAACGTTGAAACTAAACACAATCATGTCTTTTAATTGACGCACCTATAATGTTATACTCCCTCCGGTTCTAAATAAATTTCACACTTTCCTTTTTGGGACGGTCCAAAATAAACTTCACACTTCCTTATTTCCTTATTTGGCAAAGAAATCTACATCAAAACAGTGTTAAACAGTGCTAAACAGTGTCTCAACAGTGCCAAACATTGCCAAACAGTGTCTCAACAGTGTATTCTACAGTAAAGTCAACTTTATTTTCTTAATAACTGTGAAGTCAAACACTGAAGTTTAAAAAGAATTTCCATGCATTCGAACTTTGGTCAATGTGCATTATTGTGTACGGCAACCAAAATAATTTCAATCGACCATTCGACCATCATGTTCAATTTACCATATTTTTAGAGCAGTATTATATAAACTTGAGTTTCGAGTCTACCTCTTTTCTTAATTTAAGCTTAACCTTATCTTTAGAAACCAAGATCTACTCCCTCCGTCCCTTATTGTTGTTCCATTTGCGGATTACGAGGTTGACCGACGATAAAGTTAAATGATCCCTGTGAAAACTCGGATTATTTTTAGTAAATAAAATTTACATATTCAGAAACTACATTAAACCCGCTACAAAGCCTGCAAAAAATAATTCAACTTTTATAAAATTTTGATATAAAAAGTAAGAGATTAAGAGTGATTTAAGTTGACCAATGAATAGTAAAATGGAACTTCTTTCAGGGACAGAGGGAGTAATATTTTACCAGATCGTATAAACATAAATTCCCACACGGAAATATGAAGTAATTTAAAGTCAAATCTCGTATGCTTTACGTTTTTCCTTTACTAAGTTTACTGCCATTTTTGGAGATGATATACTCCGTATTGTTTTGGTTTTGTATTTCCTCCAGTGAACAGTTTCCTTTAAAAAATAATCTCGTGCATACAACGGAACTAACTGTTTCCATCATTTTTAATGAGCCAAAGACTCACTATTTACTTTTTGGCTCAGAGTAAAGTAAAATAACTCATTAAACTGTCGGCACTTCTTTGTTATGAAATAACAATCAGCTCATACAATCAGGGGAGGAGCCAGGACGAGGGTTCAGGCTGGGCCGGTTGTAAACTAAAAACACCATATAAAAAATTTAGGCTAAATGAAAACTATAAACTTATAGTACGTAATATCATCTTTATACCCCGTTTTCTTTCGCTAGTCCATGTCCGTTTGATGAATTGTACCCCGTCTTTCTCTATTTTTCCGGATCTTGCTCAATTTTAACCGCATCAGAAAGTAATTCTTCCCAAACGGGTGAAATAATTGGAGTTTCAATCAAATCATTTAACTATTATTTGTTTTATGTATAATGTATTCATAGTAGGCTGAAAAAAATAATGCAGCCTGATCATCGTCCTTTTTTAATCGTCAAACCGGTAAATATATTAAATCAACAAAGCGTTCGTCGCATGGCTTATAATACAATCAAAGAAAAAGCAGGAAACAAAACGATAAAAAGCCTTCTGTGTGTTATCCACCCTTGAACCGGACTTAGAATCTATCACCTTGTAGAAGCAATAATATTCGTTGATCCTGTAATGGGCATAATTGAGTCAATGACAAGCAAACTAGACTTCTCATCACCTCACTTAAATTCTAGGAAATAAGAACACGTCCAAAACAACATGCAATTCGTAAGAAAAACACAAACAGAATAAAACGGAATTAAAACAGAGTTCACTCATCTTCTTCCAAACTCTAGACTCACCGTCATTCAATGACGTCGGCTCGGGAGGAGGATGCGTCCGCCGCTCATCCGCCTCAATAGCCATGATTGTGTATTGATTGACAATATCCTCCATTGATATCCCTTGCTGTTGAATCGAACCCAAGTTCCGTCATAGCTTATTCTCCTTTTCTTTATCAACACTCAACCTTCGACCAAAAACAATAGCAGAAGTTGAGCCTTGACCGCCAAAGCAATGCATCCCCGATCCCGAGCCTGCTTTCACGATTGAAACCAACCGACGAACGACGACTGCTCTTCGCCAATGACGAACGCGGAAGAACTAAAACCTAACTCGTAGGGAGATGACCACTAATAGCAATTGTGTTATTGAATGATTGAATTACGCACAAAAACTAACTGTGACAATGATAGACAGGGGCGGATCCAGGATTTCATGTTGGACTGGGCTGAAAAACTTAATTGATAATACATTAAAAATTTTCAAAATAAGCAAACAAAAAAATATCTAAGAGTTCTCCACTAAATTTGTTCTCTACGAAGCTTTGAAACAAAAAAACTCGTCAATTATAGAGTCTACATCTATACTAAGAGTATGACCTTTTTCAATATAAAGTGTATTGCAATTAACAAAAAAGTCATCATCCATTTTGTCGCGGAGTGTTGTCTTTAAAAGTTTCACGGCAGAAAATGATCATTTTATTGTTGTAGTGAAAACAATAAGATCAATACAAAGCGAATCAATATGCTGATCATAACATATGAAACAGATCTTTTGCTCTTAGTCAACTGCTCACATAATTCAACAAGTGTAGATACTCGAAACTTTGTATCATGAATCACATCATGAGCATAGTGTTGTCGCTCGAATTCAAAAGCATTACTAAAACCTTCGGGATAGAACTTCCTTGCAAGAGATTACAAATAGCATCGGCATTGAATGACACATATGAACTTTCGGGATCCAATGAAGCACTCAAAGAAAGGAGTTTGATCCATTGATTTATCATTAAACCAAGTCCTTAACTTCAACAATACAAAGTCTATTGCCTCATTGAAAACATCAAAGTGATAATGAGTGCTCAACTGTAGTTTCTTTTCGGCAATGACCAACCATATACTATCGTATTTAGAATTCAATTTTGGTACAAGAATTTCTCTTTTGAGCAAATCTCCTTTTGCTTCTTCAAGAAAGCCTTCACATCTATTTTATGTCACTTCCCCGAGAATGAGTTGCGTAGTAGAAACATGTCTCATTGCTATCAAGATATCCAATAATTGTTTGAAGGTCTTGACAAAGAATACTCGTTATATCAAAAGTGAATTGAACACAAATTCAAAACATGGAAAGTGTCTATATACACTATGAACTTCTGCCCAAGAACTCACTTTTGGGCAATGTTCTTGAATATACTCAAATACTTTACAAGTTGATGTGAATCATATTTGAATCATATTTTATTGTATTTATTACATTTATTCCTTTTGGGCTTTACGGCCCTTATACGATGTACAAAAGTGCCTCTTGTTAAGTGGGAGGTAATTCGTATAACATTTAGATTAGATTTTTAGATGGAATGATTTTGTTTTATGGGTTGGGCTGAAAAATTGGATTGGGCTATAGAAAAATTTGGGCTGGGCTGGATAGAATTTTGTGAAAATAATACCTTAAAAAAATTATTTTTTTTTACTTTGCCCTGGGCTTCAGCCCACCATAGCCCTAACATAGATCCTCCCCTGATGATAGAGAAGTCTCTGATCTATTTTGCCGCTGTGGAAGGACTCTCTCACTGTGGAAGAAACCATGCGGCATCCGATCATCATCCTTTTAGAAGTAGATTCGGTAGTCATATAATTAAATTGACAACAATTAATAGTAGATTCGAAATATATTATTTTGAATCACATTATTCATAGTATTGTGTAAAAAAGACAGAATTCTCATTTTCAATTTCACCAATGAATACCAAGACAAAAATTATTCACCAAAACTAGAAAAAATTCACATTTTACATTGTAAAAACTCATATAAGTAAAAGAACTAGAAGAAATTCACATTTTACATTGTAAAAACTCGTATAAGTAAAAGAGCCCAGCACTCGATCTCAGGAATCACGATTCCAACTTCCATGCTATGGAGAATTAGCTTCTTAAATTATGGAGTAACATAAAAAACTTACCTGCTGCCAAGGGGCAGGCCAGATGGGGCTGGGCGATTACGAGAGCTACATTAGAGGTGGACTTTTTTTTTTTTGCATCGGGCCTTTCTACTTTGGGCCAGTTTTTTTTTTTTCGCATCGGGCCAATTTCTAAAAAAAATTAAACATTATATAAAATAAAAATGAAAAAATACCCG